ATAATGTCCTGCTCCCCGCTGAGCCATACGATTTAGTCACACCTGCTGCTGTTTGTCTGCTGTGTTAAGGGCATCGTCCTTTTGGAACAATCATGAAGGTAGAAGAAAACCTATCAACAGAGCTGTCTTTAAACGTGTCCAATTAGAAGCTCTGTTAGAACTGAATTTAAAACCTCCCTCTTAAAAGATGATTCTGTGAACGTTTCTTTGCCGCTCCTCCCGATTGGGCACTCTTGGGGCTGCCCAGCGGGGTCTGAGGCCCTGAACCCTCCTGCTTCCGGAGGCAGGGCTGGGGGCCAGCAGAGGCCCTGGCAGGGGCTTCTCTTCCTTCTCCTCTTCCTGCTACAGTTGAGCGACCTCCTCCTCCTCGGGGTGCATGGGGCAGGGAGGAAGCATCCTGAGACCCTGGTGCAGCAGGCCACATGCACATGCAAGCCACACCAGCCTTCGCACTGAATCCTCACGACCACCCAATGGGGTAGGTGGATGTTATTTCCCCTTCACATGTAAGAACACTGCTGGAAGAGGGGAAGTGACTTCCCAAGGTCACACAGCAGTGAATGGCAAAGCTCAGTCAGAGCCCAAAGCAATCCAACCCCACTGGCTGTATTTTCCTGCTAGACCAGCAGTGCTGCTCCATTCTCATCCCCCAACAAGCTGAATGGCAGCAGGCAGAGGTGTTCATCTCTCAGGACCTCTGTGTCCTAACCGGCAAATGAGAGGCGGGGGGAAGTGACCTCTAAGAGCGCCTTGGGTGTCTACGAAATGACCTCATACAGAAAAGAAGTGTAAGAAGAGCACGGCTGGTACCTAGAAATTCTCATTCCATGTGGAGGCCCTGCACATGCACACTCTCAATCAGAGAAGTCATATCCACACCCTCTGACTGTTCTGGACGTGCTGAGGTAAAGAGTAGCTACAGGGGCCAACACAGGGGGCTGTAGCAGAAGTCGCAGCCGCAAGCCCCCGGCAAGGGTCTCAGCACTGCTCAGATATTAGAACCACCTGGGAAGCTTTGTAAACTCTTGTTGCCCAGACCCTTGCAGTCAAATCTCCAGGGCTGGGGGCTGGCTATCAATATCTTCCTCTGCTTCACAAGGGATTCAGGGAACAGAGAAGGTTGAGAACCCAGGGGGCAGAACATAAACTTGGCTCTGTCCTTCAGCAGCGACTGGTCAGAGCAAGAGGAGTGAGTCTGCTAAGGCCTGGCCCCCGAAGGGCCACTCCAGCTTTGCTCCTGGTCTGGCCTGAAAGCCCCTTTGGCATAGCAGGCCATGCTTGGTGTGCTTTCTATGGGTGTGTGGACTGGCTGTGTTCTTTTTTCTCTATCCCACAACCCCAATGTCTTGTAAACTGCAGCAGGATAGGAACAAGGGGTTGCTGTTGCCTACAAGCCTCACGTATAACCAGAACAGTGAGAGTTGGTTTGTGAAGACAAGTGACTGCTGAAGTTAATGATCCTCACAAAGCTAACAGTAGATCGACTTGTCAAAGTGAGAGAAATCTGTTCATCTAGCTGTTTGGCACCATGTAGACTAAAAACAAACAAACAAACCAAAGCTAAAATCAAATCTACTTATCAAACAAACTGATATCTGCTTATTCACCCAGTTTGACTGACTAGACTCTAACGAGTAGAGAACGCTCTGCTTTTTGACTATGTAACCGTCTAGGATATGATGTTTTGTCATCGTGTCTCAAGTTTGGTACAAGATGAAGGTGAGTTTCTCAAGATCCAAAGCATAGGAAGTCTGAATCCAGAGCGGTGCTTACCCTTTGGTGGGAGGTCAGAAATCTGTCCCAGAAGATAACAATGGCAGGATGGGGGAGGGGGCGGTATTTAATAATGGGGCATTCATCACTGGCAATTAAGATTATAAATCTGGTTTAAAACCGAGATTAAAACTGATACTGGTCAGCTGGCATAAAAATAATTAGCTCTTAGCTGCATTAAGCAATATCCCAAATTGATGAGATTTCAGGGAATGAGAAGACCTCTGAAACAGAACCTCTAAGAATGAAGTAGAACCTCTAAGCCCCCTAATTGTAAGTGGGTTCACTCATTCAGTCATCCATTCATTCATTCACACCAACGTTCTCAGGATAAGCCTCCTGCCTCCCTGGAGCTGGTTCGTATTGTCTGTAACTGCACTTGCATTTTGGGGGTGGTAGTGGGGGGGGGCGGTGACTGAGGCATCACTGCCTTTCCTTGATGTGTGAACTGTGTCAAAATATTCCTGACCTCCCCAACCTAAGAGTCATGTTTATGAATAGCTACCGTTAGTTGACTACTTAATGTACTCCAAAGAATTCAGTTATCACCTAATATTCCATATAACTCTAAGGAATCCCAATTTATAGATAAGGAAATGATAGAATACCAATTTATGAATAAGGAAATAAAGCTCAGAGAGGTTGTATAAGGTGCCCAAGGTCATACAGCTTCACTCTCAGGCAGTCTGATTCTGACACCAATGATGACCTGTAGTCTCACTCCTCCCCAATGCGGTTGTAAAGCTGAATTAGTCAGCAGCTACTAAAACAGAACTCTTTACAGCAAAGAGGACCTGCATGTTTAAGTATTGTTAAGGCTGTTGTAGTCCCTGAAATCAGGCTCACTGAATCATTAAATAAACATTGACTGTGTGCATGCCAGATATCCCCTGGGTTCTGAGACATAGATGAGTAAATCACAGCCTCTGTCTTCAAAGAGCACGGAGCAGTGGTTCTTAAACTAGGTGCTGGGAGCCACAGATGCTGCTGGCTTGGGGACCCCATTCTGAGAACCACTTTGATAGCAGTTGTGTCCATCAGAAGTCCCACTGTGAGTTGTGAGGCAAAGGGGAGCCCCCCTGCTCTCGCTCCCTGGGCAAGTGGAATGAGGAGAAAATAAACCTCAGAGTCCTCCTTGAAGGAGGAAGCCATTCAAGAGGTAGCGCGCTGAGGTCGCAGGTGAAGAGGGGCGGGGAGCTCGGCCGTGAGCCCTCGGGGGAGTACCTGGTCTCCCTGAGCACCAGCCAGCCGGCCTCGGGCGCCCATCCCTCCAGGCCCACAGCAGCTACCTGTCTGGGCGTGAACCAGGTGACCTCCGCAGAGATCTCACTACCAACTGAAGGGGCAGTGGAGGGGATGCCCAAATTCCCAGGGGCAACTTTTCAAATCATGTATATTGCAATTTGGGTGCATAAGTGAGGGCAGAGGTCCTACATTTACATGGACTGAGAGGCACCAGGCTGAAGCCCCGCATTTCCTCCTCTCTGCAAAAATTCCCAGAGAATGATCAGCAAGAACTGCAACCTCTAGGGTAGGTAAATAAAAAATAAATAGAAATGGAGGCTTGGCTGGAAGCTCTTGAGGATTAACTAATTAATCCCCCACAGTTTGACGAGGAACTAATTAATCCATTAAGCGCATTGAGGGGCCTTGGCCTGGCCAAGCACAGGAAGAGGCCTCTCCCCCCTCTGGAGACTGACGCTGAGAGGGGCCCTTCCTTCCCAGAGGTCTGCAGGGAGGGCCTGCTTGAGGACGGGCCCCCCGGGGCTCTGGCTGCTGCAACAGAGGCCTGCCTTCCAGTTTCCAGAGCCAGGCTTACTGTCCCTGTCCAGAACCAAATAAAAGAAGGCGCTCTCAGGAATCAGTAAGAGAGAAGTAGGGAGCCACGGCCTCATGTGCGAAAGCGGGGATGCACTTTACAGATGGAGAATGAAGTTTATGCATTACCTCGACTTGCTGTTTAGACCCAGAGACAACCCGTGTTTGTTTATAATCATTTCTACTCTGCACACAGACAGCAGGGGGATTCATAACCTCCTTGTAGGTGTTGACTTGACCTGCACCTGGGAACTCAGCCGGTACCAAAATCTTTATAAAATCAAGTCGCTGTGGTCTGATTAAGACTAAGATGATTGTTTTTATCTTGATGTGACTTTTCAAGTGCTTTGGTCACAACCTAGGGAGGTGGGTCCTAAAGTCTGCTGAGATCTTTCTCTTGTTTTGCTGACGGCCTCTTTAATCCTCTGTGCCGCCGGAGCCCGGTTTGCCTCCTGTTAGGTCTGATCTCAGAAACTCATCTAAGAGCAGCCCTCTGGGACTATAAACTGCCCTCCTATTTCCCAGAGAAACTTTTTCTTTAGATTCTTCTCCCTCATTACAAAGCAAAGTACTTTACAGCCAGAGGGTTTTCTAAGATGAGGCAGTATGCACTAAGAAATTCTGGAAGATCCACACCTAGAATCACAAACCTAAATGTGCAAGGCAAACTGGGTGTCATGGTCAGCATGCAGAGTTGAGCCATACCACTGATGACGCACTTACTAGCCAGTGTGTGCCAGACTTGTTCTCAGGCGCTAAGGACGTAAGGTTGTATTTGACAGGATTCTGTGCCCACCAGGGGACCTGTGTCTCTTAGAAGGGAGGGAAGGGGCAATGGTTAAGCAGAAGTGGCCACTAAAGACTGATGACTGAAATGACAGCACTGTCTGGCCACTGGAAACCCAAACCCCACCCTCCAGAGCAGGACTAGCCAAGGCCACTGAGGCACAGCCCGGGGCTGAGACTCTGCAAAGGCTGCAAAACTGCCCTGAGCAGAGTTGGTGTGCGATTCTCAAGCTCTACAGATGTTGGCGGGGACGGAGAGGGTTTCTAAAAACAGTTTGCCAGGCCACACCTGGGAGTCTCTGGTTCAGTAGGTCTGGGTGGAGCTTGGGAATTTGTCTTTCTAACACATTCCTAGATGATGTCAGTGCTGCTGCATCCGGGGACTACGCTTTGAAAACCACTGTGCCAGAGAGTTCTGACTCGCCTAAGGTGCAGTGAAGAAGGGGTGTCTCAACCAGAACCTGCGGCCCTGGAGACTGCTGCCAGGCCCAGGCCCTGCCGAGAGACGGCCAAGCGCGCCATTCGCTGCATTTATCCTGGGCAGCGGCTTTTCCTGCTGCTTTCAACATTTGGTTTTTTGTTTGTTTGTTTGTTGTGAAGTCATTTATCTGTTTTTCACATAGAGTGAAATGGATGAGAACCAAATCCACCTGGCTGGGGACGATGTGGATTTGCCCGAAGATCTCCAGAAAATGGTAGATGAAGATCAAGAAGAAGAAGAAGATAAGGATTCTATTCTTGGGCAATTACAGAATCTTCAGAACATGGACTTGGATACCATAAAAGAAAAAGCCCAGGCCACCTTCACAGAAATCAGGCAGACAGCGGAGCAGAAGTGCTCTGTGATGTGAGGGACAGGGCAAGCATGGTGGAGGGAACCAGGTCAAGGCGGAGGTGCCCTCTCTCCTTCGGGGCGCTTCGAGAAGATATACATTAACGTAGTGAACACACTTAGAAAAACCATGATGATAAATGCTCTACAAACAGGCAGCCAGCAGCTTGACATTCTAAATGTCCCTGGTAGAGCATTTAGCTAGCACCTTGCAGAAGGAAACATACTTTCCTTTTAGTTGCAAATGTGGCTAAGGATAAATTTTCCTTTGTGAACAATGCAGAACATAAATCTGCTTAAAGATCTTCAGGATAGCCAGGAAGAAACAAAAGCAGCTGGCGTATCCTCTCGGATTTCCTGCCTTAGTGGGCAAAGTCTCACCCTGTCTAACCATTAACATGACTCCATTAGCATGACTCCCTGCAGAGAAAGATGTGGAGGGTCAGGGTGCCTACCAGGAACCTTGGCTGCAGGCTAAAGGGCAAAGATCACACCGCCTCTTATTCCCAGGCTCCTAATGTTTGTTATTGATGCTTCTCATCACCTGCGGCTCTTGGACAGTTCAAAGCTGAGGTGTAGCAGCAAGAATATGGTAAAAGATGAAAAACTAAGGCAGAGAATCGACTTCACTGGCCCCTTGCAAGGTGTGAAGTTAGAGGCAGGGGGACACTTGGGGAAGGTATCTCTGTTTCTGCATTCAGCATTTCTCCTCTTGTGTGAACTTGGAGATGGCAATGGGAACAAAGCTTGTGGACAAATAGGGAGCACTGAGAAGTCAAATCGAGCCCCCCACGTCTCTGTCTGTCTTCCCCTCTCCTCCCCCTTCTCTCCCCTGCTTGCCCTCTCTTCCCAGCTCTCCTCCTTTCTCCTCTCCCGTCCTTCCCCACCCATCCCTTCAGACTAGCTCCCAATAAACCATGCTGTCATTCTGTGCCACAGTTTTCTGGGGTGTACACAGATTTCTTTTTCCTAACGTTTGCTGTCTTCCCAAGGGAATTATTCAAAAGACTTGAACATTTACTTCTGAAACACTTGGAGCTGTCTAAAGCCAGTCAAACCAAAATGAAATCCTGGTTTTTCAATGAATCTGTTTGTAGATTAACCATGCTTGAAGACAAATATTATCAAGAACTGCTTTATCAAAGGAGAAGGGAACTAAGACCAAATACTTAGGGCCTAACCTGTTCTAACCAGAATTCCTGAATGTGTTTTACAAGAAAAATTTCATGTTAAATTATTAGGGGCCCAGGACCCATGATCCTTGGCAAAGTTTTGCCCCTTTTGGAAGTTCGTGGGAGAACACTGGTGTAAAGCTCAGGGCTAATTAGCCTTGAGTCCACTGCCTTAGACCATTCTGGCTGCTATAACAAATTACCATAGACTGGGTGGTTTATGAATGACAAATAGTTCTGGAGGCTGGAAGGCTGAGATCAGGGTGCCAGCAGAGCTAGGTGGCGAGGGCACCCTGTGTTGTAGAATTTTCATTTTATCCACATGGTGGAAAGAATAAGGGAGCTCTGTAGGGTCTCCTTTATGAAGATCACTAATCTCATTCTAATCACCTCCCAAAGGCCCCATGTCCTAATACCAACACCTCAGGGGTTAGGATTCAACATATGAATTTGTGGGGGGACATAATTCAGATCATAGTGCCCACAAACCTGAGTTACCATAGATACATTTTAAAACCATGCCTGTCTTTTATCAGAACTGGCATGTGAGTTACAATTTGTTTTATAGCAGACACTAAAATACTCACAATTTTTAAAGCTTTGAAACAATGGAGACAGTTAATTATCAGCTCAGTGCCTGACTGTGCCCTGTAACTGGTGGAGTGGCGGGATGGAGAGGCGGCACATGTGGCCTTCTGTTTGTACTTTTGTTGTGACATAAAATACTGTGGCTGCTAAATTATTCCACAGACTGGCTGCAGGATGGCATAAAAGACTTGCTTTCTTGTACAAGATGCTGTCAGCGCTGCTAACGATATCAGTAAACGGGCACTTTATTTTGACAACCAAAATCACTCTAGCACCATTTGGTCCCTGCCCAGTGGAATGCATAGCTGCTAGAAGATTCTAGCCATGGTTACCTGGGTCATAGCACACCGCAGCATACCAGACAGCCCCTTGCCAACACACGCAACAGGTGTAAAGGGTCGGGGCAGCCAGGGCCTGTATTACGGCATTCCGAAGCCCTTTTTCCCTCTATAAGATGGTGGCTATGCCATGTGATGAACACAAAAGGCTCTTCCTTCACCAAAACCGGAGAACCCAACAGGCCTAAAGAAATAGGCAGCAATCTATCCCAAACTCCCATATATAAAGTAATGAAGGAACTGCTTCCATACCACCCTAGTCGAGCCTCAGCTGAAAGCCTCCAGGGGTGCAGAACCCCCCCATCTGCTGCTCCATGGGAATCCCGCCACTAAACCTTCCATCTGCGGACTTCATTAACTGTTAGAATACCTTTCCTTGCCTTAAGTTGAAATTGGCTGTGTTTTTGACCTATTTGTCAAAGCTTTACAGATATACCTAAATGTCCACTCAAGCTTTGATGATGTCCCCACCCAGCTTTCTCTTTTCCAGGTAAGACATCCTTACTTCTTATCAGTTCACGTCACACTGTACTGACACTGTTAACCTGCTGGGTGAACCTGCTCTGTCACGGTCTGCTCTCACTGTCACTGTCCTCAAGTGGAGCCAGCCATGCAGGGAACGGTGAGGCCACTGCCCCCTATGCCCTACCACTGGACTCCAGGCTTGCAGCCATTCCTTCGGGCCAACTGGTAGTCAGGTATGAGGATCCTAGCCCCATTTTCACTTTGTGTGGCCTTGAACAACTCATTTGTCCTCCCTGGAAATTCATCTTCTCAATAGTAAAAATGAAGGGGCTGCATTATTTTACATTCTGTGATTCATTCCATGCTTTCTGGGTGGTCAGTACAACATGTAGATTTATCTTGCAAAGAGAGCACATTAGCCTATCATCACTGTCACAGAACTAGGTTTCTGTCCCCCAGATGCCCCAAGGGACAACAGGCCCCAGGGATGGAGAGGGAACAGAGCATTTGGGTAGGTACTAGCAGGGAGAAGGGTCAGGAAGATAGACAGTCACCCATGAAGGGAAAATCCAGAGGCCCAGGGAGTGTTTGTAGCCTGGCGGAAGCAGCCATAATGACCTGGGGTGGGGTGCTGGAGAATGAATTCTGAGAAGACAAATTAAATGGACTTTTTAATTTTGCCGAGTTAGTCTAGTACTCAATTGGCTATGCACTCGTACAGCACAATGAAACAGGAGTTCTTCTTTGGAAAACATATCGGCATGGTGAGCTCAGTTATCCAGAGGCCACTTAATTCAGTTTGTGAGTTATAGAAGCCCCTCCGTTTTTACTCCTTACACAAGAAATCTAGCCAAACTACAGCTTCCAAACAGGACCACCTGAGGCAGGGAGAGGAGTGAGATTAAAAATGAACAAACGGAGCTTGCAGCTCTTGATAACAGACGATTAGCTCCTACCAGACTAACCCTCCTGCAGATCACCGCTATAAACTCTCTACCAGATTCAAAGAAACAACTGCCCGCAGGCACCAAAGCAGGTCTGCATTGGAGCCCAAGCGAATCCACACTTGGAAAGAAGAAAAAGCCCTGGTGAGTCTTCCTGTGCTTACAGCTTTCATCTGAGGGCAGACCCCAGTCAGGCCAGGTAAGAGCTGACACTCAGCCAGAAAACCTGTCGGCAGGTGGGCTCCAAGACACCGCAGAGTTTGGGGCGGCCCCAGTAAGGGCAATTCCCAGCAAGGACAGAGCCAGACAGTCTGAAATGCTCAGTATAAAGTCTCTTCGTGACACTGGCTGATCCCTAACCAACACGTGTTCCCCAGAAGCCAAGCATTGAAGGCCAGCAACTGAACTGAGAATTCTGTTGTCCACCCAGGGGAAGCATCTGTAGCCAGCCACACCTGCCAGTGGCTAGACAAACCAACGAAAAGGCTCTTCGTAAAAACATAACTCTGCAAAGTAAGTAGAAGGGAGGAAATCAACAAAATGGAAAAAAACAAAACAAAACAGAATAAGCCCCAAAGTTGGTTCTTTAAAAAGATCAGTAAAGTTGATAGATACCTAGGCAGGCTGTTCAAGAAAGACAGAGCACAAATGACAGAAAGACTAGAATCTAGGATGTATATATTTGTAGATAAATATAAATTAAAATTAAATGTCAATTATATTTTAATATACAAATTGTATAAAGTCTATGCTATAAATGGAAATATATGTAAAATATATATAAATATATACCCTTAAACCCTAGATTGTCAGGTAAAAAAATAGGCAATTTATGTAAATATACATATTCAAAACTTTTATGACTCAGTAATAAAATTGTAAGACACATATTAAAAAACAAAGGCAAAAAGTTTGAACAGAAACTTAACAAAGGAAGACATACGCATGGCCAAGCATAGGGAAAGGTGCTCAGTAAAATTGTCAGGGAAGTGAGAGCTGAAACCAATCACAAAATGTCATACTCCACAGACCCACTAGAGTATTTATAATTTTTTTAACTGACCCATGTTGATGAGGATGTGGAGCAATTGGAACTCTCGTGTATCAGAAGGAGAGTTAAATATTACAACCACTTTTGGAAAAAGTTCTGGCAGTTCCATATAAAAGTAACCTACTGAACTACCCTACTTTCTGACCTAGCATTTCACTCTTAGAATCTGAAAGCATGTGTCCTCAAAAGATGTATACAAGAGTACACATCCACAGTGTTCACAGCAGCTTTAATCACATGAGCCAGGAAATAGAACAGTCCCGGCGTCCGTCAGCGTCCGTCAGCACGTGAATGGTTAAACAACCGTGGAATAGTCATACAATAAAATACGACTTAGCAATACAAGTGAATGAACCTCTGATATATGAAACAACATGGTTGAATCTCAAAAGCATGAAGCTGAGTGTAGAAGTCTTGCACAAAGAAGTACATGCTATATGAAATTCTTGAACAGGTAAATTAAGCTATGGTGAAAAATACCAGAACAGTGTTTGACTTTAGGGGAATGGGTGGTGATCCTTGACTGGGAAGGGACATGAGTGAATTTTCTGGGCTGATAGGAAGCCACCATGTCTTGATAGGGGTTTGCTATAAGAAAGCATATAAGGTGAATGCTTCTGTCAAACTCATTAAATGGTACATAAAGACTTACTACCTTTCACCATATGTATATTTTACTGAAAAGAAAGAGAATCCTTTAAAAATACTGAACTTCAGCTACTGATATGTGTAGTGCACTTGTGTATTTGAGGGTGAAATGCACTGAAATCTGCAACTTTAAGAAATAAAAAAAAAACCAAGAGATTGATGGATAGATGACTGAATAGAACAATATAGCAAAATACTAATTTTAAAATCTAGGTGGTAGGTACTTGGTGTTTGTAATCCCTTTAAATTTATTATGTTTCAGCATGGAGAATATAGCCAATGATTCTGTAACATCTTCCTACATTGACAGATAGTAACCACATTAGTGGAGGGGGCCGGGACGATTTAACAATACAGGTAACTGTTGAGCCACTGTGTTGTAGTCTTGAAACCAATATAAGATTGTATACAATGATACTTCAATTTAAAAAATTTATTATGTCTTTAAATTTTCTTAGCACATGTTTTATGTTAGATCATCAAATGTTAGTGACATCCACAGTTAGCAGCACTGGTGAAAAAGGTATGATAGGAAGAAAGGCTGAAACAAATGGGTGAAATGAAGTTGAGATCCTTTATGCATTTTAAGCTCTCATTTCTTCTCTGCCCAATAATTCCAATAATAGACAGATATTTGTTTCATATTCTTGAGTTCATGTGTCTGACTGTCATTTGAGAGTTCAAAGCATTGAACAAAGTCTAAATATCACTACTATAAAACATGAAAATTTCTATAAGAATTTCATATTTCTTGATGCAATTTAAAAATACAAAAATTCAAATGAAATAAATATAGTCACTGTCTGACCACAGGAATCCTGGAAGGACAGTTTGTTTCTTCTTGTTCTCATAGGCATTTAAAAGACTAGTGATCCTAGTTCAAGTCAAAAGGAGTGTTTTGAATAGACTTAGGTCCGGCACAGTGCTAAACCCTGAATGCGCCACCGGTCGGTCATTCTGTCTCCCTCTTTCTCCTCTTCCTCGCTTCCATGTTTTGATCACAAATACCATCAGCAGATGTTACATTCAAATGTTTCCCTGAAGATACGAGAGATATAAAATAGATTGTCATACATTCACAACATAAATCCCTAGGAAGCCTCAACAAGAAATTCCTTCCCCAAGATTATAATGTGGCTATTCCCCATCTCCCCGTACATAAATACATTATTTTTTAATTGAAGTATCAATATACAATCTTTTTTGTTGAAGTATCCTTGATATAGAATCTTCTATTTGCTTCAAATATACAACACAGTGGTTCAACAGTTACCCATATTATTAAATCCTCACCCTCATTAGTGCAGTTATTATCTGTCAACATAGGAAGATATTACAGAATCAATGGCTAGATTCTTCATGCTGTACTGCCATCCCCATGACCAACTTATATTATGATTGAGAACTTTTGTGCCCTTTCATCCCCCTCCCCCTTCCCACCTGCACACCCCAACACCTCCCCACCATGGTAACCACCAGTCTCTTCTCAGTGTCTGTGAGTCTACTGCTCTTCTGTTCATTTTGTTTGGCTTTATTTTTATATTCCACAAATAAGTGAAATCATATGGTATTTGTCTTTCTCTACCTGGCCTATCTCACTTAGTATAATCTTGTGGATTTTTCAAATAAAACACACCAAAAAAATAAAACAGAATGTAAACAGACTTTAAGGGTTTACTGCACTAGAACTCAGCTCTTCCCAGATTTTTTTTTACTTCTTTCATTATTTTTTAAAATTGTGGTAAAATACACATAACATAAAATTCACCATTTTAACTGTTTTTAATTGTACAGTTCTGTGGCTTTAAGTACCTTCACACTATTATGCAACCATCACCACCATCCATCTCCAAAACTTTTTAATCCTCCCAGACTGGAACTCTGTACCCATTAAACACTACTCTCCAGTCCCTCTTTCCCCTCAACCTGGCAGCCACCATTCCACTTCCAGTCTCTATAAATTTGCCTGCTATGGGAACCTCATGTGAGTGGATCATATATTAGTCCTTTTGTTTCTGGCTTATTTCACTTTGCATTACGTCCTCAAGTTTCACCCATATTGTAGCATGTCAGAATTTCCTTCCTTTTCGTGGCTGTATAATATCCCATTTGTACATATAGACCACATTCTGTTTTTCCATCATCCATCAAGAGACAATTGGGCTGATTCTACCTTTTGGCTATTGTGAATAATGCCACAATGAACATGAGTGTACAAATATCTATTCTAGTCCCTGCTTTCATTTTTTTTCCCAATGAAATTGGGTGGAATCCACACAGAACTGGAATGGCTGGATCATCCTTAGCTGTTTGTCTACATTACAAATAGCAGTTTGGAGAGCTACCAAATTTATGCTCAGAGAATGTAATAACATTTGGCATTATACAACTTAAATTCAAATTCAGAAATCTTGGATTTTTTTTTTTTGCTTTTTAGTAAATCTTTTATTATGGAAAAAATCTCAAATGTAGCCAAAAGTAGGAATAAAAGAATCACAAATCCATGTGTACCAAGTTTAGCTTCTATACCCTACTCTGAAGTGCTGTTATCCTTGAAAAACTATATAGTATCATAACTCCATCTATAAATTGAAGACATCATTCTTAGATGGAGTCTAATTCATGGAGCTAGAGAGATAGCAAAATGCACAAAGTGATGCTTGCTTATTAAGTCATTTCAGAAACCTTGAAAGACTGCTAAATTGTGTCTCTTTAGAGCTCATTTCTTTAACTTAATGATGCACGTACCCTGCAGTAGTGCCCTAAGCTCCCAACATTTGAATGAAGACTCTCCGGGCCAGCATCTTGGAAACCCTATTGAAAACATCTGGCGGTTAAAGGGGCCTAATTAGACTGGTCAGGATATATAAGATCAGGATTTTTAGGGCCTAAGGGGTCAAAGGAGAAAGTACAATAAAAATTTACAAACAAATGCCCATAAAATTGCGGTCAACTGTAAACATAAAGTAAAGCTAATAATCTGCCATAGAGTTACAGAAGCACTTTGGAAGAAGAATGGCATTTTCTAAGATGCGCCTCCTGCTAAGAGAGAAGTCAGGGTGGGGTGGCCTCTTGAGCATGCTGCAGTGGCATTGCCTGAAGCCCCGTCTCCTCATTGGATGAACACTCACATCAAAGGCAGTGGAGGAAACCCCAGCCAGTGCTGGAGCTTAACAAGGCTGGAGTGGGCTGAACTGACTTTTGAAAGCAATCCAATGATTTCAATGGACTGTTTGGGAAGGATAGTAAAGCAGCTTGACATTTTCCCAACACCTTGGAAACAATTAATAATGTAGAAAAACTGCAGATGACTGATAATAATAATGTGAAAAAAGTCTACTTGTGCAAATCATAGCTGTCTGAAATTAGACAATTTACTTAACCTGTTTCCTCATCTGTGAAATCGAGTTCCTTGCAGTTTTTCATTGAATCAACCACCATTCTGTGCAGCGTATGTTCTAGGTGGCTAGGATTTAATAGACAAGGGCCCTATTTCATGCAGATTAGACTCTAATGAGAGGAGATAGGTAAACAAGTAAACAAATGTTAAGTAATCGATGTGGAGTGGAAGTTACTATGTGAGAAATACAACTATAAGAAGGATCATGTGAACGTTTGGAAGAGAGCATTTCAGGCTGTGAAAATAGTCAGTGCAAAGGTCCTGAGGCAGGAAAGGACTTGGAGGATTTCAAGAAGAGAAATGTGGCTGTGGACCCATAAGCAAGTTGGAACAGATGGGACAGTGGCCAGAAGTGCTCAGTGAGGCCGTTTGAGAAGTAAAGGGCTAAGCCTTACAGAGCAGAACACGGAGTTCTGATTTTATCTAAAGTGTAACAGTAGACCTTTGGGAAGTTTTATGGTGATGCACCATGGTCTAATATAGTTTTGATAGATTATCTGAATGCCGAGTGGAGAGTAGGGAGCTAAAAGGAGCAGGAAGGAGAACCGTTAGAAGGTTAATTCAGTAGCCTGTTCACACAAGATGGGTTGGTGGCCTGCAACGTGGTGGAGATGGAAAGGAGTGTCCAGGTATAAGAAATAAATATTCCAGAAACGCAGCCAAAGGCTTATTGAACATGGATGGTGTGGGAAAGAAAGGACTATAACCATATGACCTTTTACAGTACAAGTAAATGGGAATTGGCTCCCTGATCACTGTCCTTTCAAAAAGAAGAGGGGAGAGAAATCCTAGAGATGGCTGAACTCTGGGTGGGGGTTGGGTCATGGCTACTGCATAAGAGGCATCCTCGGATTTGCCCTCTTAACACCCTAAGAGGATTGATAGGCTTCCAGACCATCATCCCCTCGAGATAAATGTCTCCTGTGCTTCCCCTAGACACTCTGTATTCAATTAGTTTAATTAGAAAACAAGTAAAGAGGAATTATCTTAATACAGCTTTGTTCCTAACAACTCAAAAAAGGTCCATTTCTTTGGCAGACACTCAAGTCTCCCTCTTTTATTTACATTCTGAGATAATGCTACAAATGTTCCTCTTTTTTTGGCAAAAAAAAAAAAAGTGGACATCTCTTACCGTATAGATTGTATTTTAGTTATAATAATAATAATACACAATTCCTGTTTTCTTCACTCTTAATGAAGTAGGAGCATCCGTATGCTAGCGAATATTTAAAAACCATTAGCTGGGGGTGGGGAAGATGAAGAATGCCCTGACTTTTTAGTGATTGCCAATTTCTGTGCTGAAAATACTCCCACTATGGCTGATTTCAAGCTACTAATGTGACATCACTGAACTCAGAGCTGGGAAGAGATGCTAACCACCAGCTCTAACAAGTCAGTAATTGCTGCTGTTTCTCACACACCAATGTGGAGGAAGATCAATTGTTTCCCCAAGTGCCCTGCAAATCTATTGCCAAAGGAATTTTTTCTCTTATATAGAGGCTACTTGCATTAGCATCAACTGCAAAAGCAAGCTCAGGAACAAGCCCAGGTAACTTGGTTGGTAAATGATTGGGCAACAACTTCACTGTATTTGTACAAAACCTATTCCTCTGGGATTCATGCACAGACATATTCTGCCTACAAGCATGGGACATCTGAGAGTAGGATCCTGAGAGCTCAGCATGGCAGTGGTAAAGAAACAGTGACCTAGTGGACAGGTAGGCAGTCCAGAGACTGGCTTCTAGTCCAAGCCCTGCCACAGACATTCTGTCTCATCTTGGGCATGTCATTTAATTTCTCTGGGTCCACATTTCCACATCTATGAAGGAAAGGTGGGGTCTAGAAGTGAGAGAGCAGGTAGGATAATCACCAGGTTCCCCTTCTAAGTCTTAAACATATGATTCCCCTGAATAACTGGAAAAATCAGAGACTAGTTTTAAGTGATATTGTTCCTAAAAATATCAACATTGGGAAACAATGGGAATGCCAAAGGAGGCAGGCCTCTTGCTAATTACTGGATAGTCTGCAGGGAGCTGTGTTCCCTGTTCTTACACCAAAGGAAGGCTTTGGTGTATAATTAATGTTCAATAAGTAGTAATGGTTATTATATATATTTTAACTCTTGACAATTGAATCTGTTGAACTTCCCTACGTGTGTGGGTAATGATTATTTGAGTTGTGTTTTGCTCTGGCTACAAAAGTTGCCTTCCCTGAATGAAAACATATCATCTAAAGGGAAGAGGTAGTCCTCCAGTGTGGTATGAGACAGGTGGCATTATATTAGGATTAAAATATATCTAAGGGGATAGTCTACACGCGGACAACTGAGTTGGTTCTTTATACTTTATGGAGAAATATTACACGGGCTCTTAAAGAGACAGTATTCATCCAAACCTATAACATTCCTCCAAGGTGAAATTACTAGAGGCTGTGGTCAAATGCCATTAGCTCATGTTGCGACCATGCCCCCTGCCCAACCAGTGCCCAGGCAACTCCCATTATGGGTGCCCCTTTCTCTAGAATGTTGTAGGGGAGGCAGTGAACCTAGAATATTTCCAGACGCGGGGCATCCCCATCCAAGAAAGAAACCACCTCATGCAATAACTTCACACAATTCCTGGTTACCTTTAGATTTCGTTTTCTGCATGCTAGCCAGTCCCTCTCCTTTTTCTCAAAATTTCTCTCCCAACTTCAGTTATGTTCTAGGTTGTCCTTCCCACGTCACACCAAACTCCCACCCTGAAGACACCCCCTCCATCCTCACTTCTGGAAATGTTTCTCTGAGCCACGTCAAGCTGAAAGCAGCTTTAGCTGCATCTCAGTCCAGTCCCCATGTGGCAGCTGGGAGGAGGGAGTTTTCTTTGATTCACCTAATGAATTAATGAATTAAACAGAGGTGGGGTTCAGAAGCCAGACTCCTTACTTTTGCTGAAGCTGGGCTGATTATGAGCTAGCCTAACTGCTGGAAAAATGCAGCTTCATGCTAGAGAATTAGGGACATGGCTGAGTCCATTCATCTTCCCTAATAGAGTTCTTGGGAAATACACATGTAGATTAGCCCCTCACAATGACCCCCGGCTGATTGCTTGGAGTACCCTCCACCGTGCCCACAATGGTATTGACTAGCTCTTTATGTTGTGCACAAAGGAGGCTCCAACCTCCCCTTGTCCCTCTCTGCCCTGTGTCCCCCACGGTCCCACGCCAGTGGCTGCCCAAGCTTTTTTCAGTTTTCTCTCCCGAAACTGAAATAAACAGCAAATAAAAGCTAACCTCACCTGGACCTGTTAGGAATAACCGGCAGTTTCAGAGGGAATTAACTTTGGAAAACAAGGCCATAAGGCCCTTAGCGTGTGGGCAGGAGCTTAAGAAATACTGCCAATCCTTGTTTAGCAGTGATTATAGAGATCAATTTCATATTGGGGAAGTTTGCATCAGAAGCATTCTCAGTCACAGGGAACCAACAAACATCAGTCAATTACCCCTACAGCTGCCCTCTGGTCATGGGTCTACATCACTGGGACACGGGACCTTCTTGGGGGCCACTGGACCATTTGCGGGGATAGGGCCTTTGACAGCCTAGGAAGCCCAAGGAGGGGCAGGAGACAGATTTTGCCTGGACTGTGGCGGGAACCTCCTCAGGGTGTTGTTCAGTCCCAGACACCAGTGCCCAACAGCCACCATATATAGGATCTGATTTCCTTTCTTTGAGGAACTAAGCTACCTTTACCTCAGCTTCTCGGATGCAGAATTCAGTCTCCAGGAAGGATTAAGGATGAACTGCAGGCTAAGATGTACTTTGATTCTTAGCAAAAGGTTCACACTCTATAGTAATAAATACAAATGAACTGCAGCCAGAAAACCCTGGACAGGGAGTCAAGGGGTCTCAGTTCTAGTCCCGACTCCTCCACATAATAGCTGTGGCACTTTGAGCCTCAGTTTCCTCTTCTATAAAATGCTGACAGGTATATTTGTCCTGCTCACCTCACAGGGTTGTGCAGATTGGATAACAGGAAGAATGAGATTCTGAAAACTATAGTAATATGCAAAAAATATTAAGTGCATACTGATTTTCATTAATTTAGCTTTTTCTTATAATAAAAAATAATTTATCATTTCAATCAGGGGCTTGATTTCCATCTACTGCAAACTCACATTTGTAGTTTACTTTTTTGTAGTTTTACTAAAAATAGAGCGATTTGTGTAATGACCCCCTCCCCACCCATCATGGAGAATTAACCATTTAACAATCCTTAACCAGTCACATGTCCTTTTTAATGTCTTTGTAACTCAGTTTAAAGGAGGAGGGTTCAAAGGTACCAGTTTCCCTCTTATTTCTTCCTTTGCCCTGTCTCCTAGGCTGGACATTAAACTCCTCAAGGACAGTGACCTAGCCTTTCCTTTCTTTTGCGAGGCTGACATGGCTCGTGTCAGTGCCTGACCCTCAGAAGGCAGCAGTAAAGGCTGGTCTGAATGCCAGAGGAAAAACACCAAGGGTAGTGGGAGAAAGAGGCCCCTGTGTGGAGATCAGACTGCCTCCTGCAAAAGAGATTTTTTAAATTGTTATTTTGCATCTATATGAGGTGATGGACTTGAAACTTACTGTGGTAATCATTGCACAATATATGTAAGTTAAATCATTATGGTGTACACCTTGGTTTATCCAAGTGCTGTATGTCAATTGTATCTCAATAAAACTGGGGAAAGCAGGGAAAGGAATCTCTAGGTCCCTAGGTTCTTCACAAAGCATTTTGGCTCACGTTTCCAGCTAACGTTTCAGTGTAGGCCGGTTGCCCTTCTCAGATCTGGCGTCAGATTTGAGAAGAGCTGGCGTTCACAGTACCGATCACAGCCCTGGGGGGTGTGAAAAAACTCTTGCCGGCAGAAACCATCTTTCCACGGGGACGGAACATCGTGGAGCCCCGAAACTCGAAAGAAATGCAAGCAGATTATGCCTGTCACCCTCAGGAAAGCGAGGCCTTCCCTGTCCAGAGCGAGGTCTTTTCCCAGGCAGCCTGAGGCCGGTCATCTCCTTGGCCTGGAGAATTGTTTGGTGGGGGCTCACCCAAGGCAAGCAAGTCTGTGCGAGTGAAGAACCTCTAGCGGGTCTCCCACCGGGCCTGCGCTGGGCGGTGTGCCCAACTCCCAGCCTCCCAGCCTCCTGCTGGGCCGTCGGGTACTCGAGGTCACCTGGCCCGCGGGCACATATGGCCCCACCGCCTCCCGGGGCGCGCGCTGGAGTGAGGGAGCCTGCAGCGCGCGGTCCGAGGGGACAGGGAAGAGTGGTTAAAACAGATATAAACAAAATTAACTCTAAGTCCTGGGTTTCTGACTACGAAGCCGCGAGTGCCCCTTAAGGGTAAAAAGAGGGAGAGAAGGGGCGATTCAAACCGTGAAGAAGCTCGGACTGACTTCCCGGACCTGAAGTCGGACAGCCTTCCTCTTGGTCTGTCCAAGGGTCGCCCGGCGCGTCCAGCCCTGCGGACGAAGAGAGCCAGAGGACAGAGGCAGGACTGGAGTTAGGGGGAGGTGAGCGGGAGCGGAGCCCAAGTGGGGAGGCAGCCCTGGGCGAGGCGTGAGATCGAGGGCATGCTCCCTTGAGGCCAGACTGGGGGCCCAGTACCCGGGTTCCCACGCCTGTCAACCGTCCCACCGCTGGTCCCCGGCGTGTGTTCGGAGTGTTTGGAGCGGATCCAAAGGGGGAGGTGGCATTTGGGAGCGCTGGCCCCGCCAGGCTGGCACGGTGAGGACCCTGAGTCTGGACGAGGGAAAGGCCCTCCCCGCTGCGGGGGGCGGGGTCGAGGGAAGGGCTGGGTCCGCGGCGAGCAGGCAGCCTGCAGCGCCCGGGCCCCCAGCTGCCCGGAGTCAGAACAGCTGACGCCTGCTGGGACCGCGGCGGCGGCGCGCGGAGCGCTCGCCCACCTCCTGCGCGCGCAGCCCAGGCCGGCGTCACCCGCCGAGTTTGATCTTGGGTGGGGAACCCTCGGGTTGGACGGCTGAACTCTGGAAGCGCCGACTTCGAACCTCTTCTGTCTCCAGAACAGTCAGCGCCGCCGAGAAGTGTAGCCGCACCCTTCCGCCTCCCCGCACTCCCCATGCACCTGCCCGGCTGCGTCCCCGCCATGGCCGACGGCAGCTTCTCGCTCGCCGGCCACCTGCTCCGCAGCCCGGGCGGGAGCACCTCGCGGCTACACAGCATTGAAGCCATCCTGGGGTTTACCAAGGACGACGGGATCCTCGGCTCCTTCCCGGCAGAGCCAGGCCCCCGGGGCGCAAAGGAGCTGGATAGGAGGCCGGGCGCGCGGAGCGCCTGCCCCAAGGCGTCCCGAGGAGGCGCCGAGCTCTCCCCGCCGCCGCCCGCTGCGGCCGCCCCCGAGTACGAAGGTGAGTGCGCATCCCCAGCAGCTTCGAGGCCCTTAGGGCGCCCAGACTTGGTAGCTCTGCAAGAGGAGAGAGCCCCTGCTTAACTTTTATTAAGGCATCTGGGCACGGGGTTGGGGTCTGGGTGCATAGCAGGAGCTTCCAACCTGGGTTCAGAGAAAGCTTAGGGGCCCCGGGCAGCCCTCGCCCCTACCACGTCTGAGCCCGCATGCGGCTGCCCGCGCGCGTGGGCAGGCTGAGTGGACCCAGGGATACTCCAGGGAGTGTCTCTGACCTTCTGGGGCCTCCTCGTCCCAGCCCCTCGCCCCTATTGCCCCAAGGAGCCCGGGGAGGCACGGCCGAGCCCTGGGCTGCCTGTCGGGCCCGCCGCCGGCGACACAAAACAGTCTGAGGAGGAGCAGCCCAAGAAGAAACACCGGCGGAACCGCACGACCTTCACCACATACCAGCTGCACGAGCTGGAACGCGCCTTTGAGAAATCCCATTACCCCGACGTGTACAGCCGCGAGGAGCTGGCGAGCAAGGTCAACCTCCCCGAGGTCCGGGTCCAGGTACAGCGCCCAGAAGGGAGTCCCCCGGCAAGCCCTAGGCCCAAGCTGCAGCCAGTGCTCCCTAGAATCCCCGGGCGTCCACACACTTATCGTGACACTCTCCCCATTGGCCTTACTTGGTTTGGCCCCAAAGGAGCGACACAGATCTTTTATGAGCCCCACCACCGCGCCTCAGACTTTCTGTTCCAGTTTGTAGTACCATCTCCCCTTGGGGCTGAGAGAGGGGGTCAACCCTCTTCTAAGCTAAAAAGAGAAATTGGGAATGGCTGGCAGGCTGAAGAGGCAAGAACAGACCAGACACAGCGGGATTGGGTGGCGGAGCCACTGAAGGGAGGGATGAGCCGAGAGGGACTGAATGTAGGCAGCGCTGGAGGGTAATGGGGTTCCAGCCCCCAGTGCCACCCTAGTCACTAGCTTGCAATATACCATGTTGAAAAAGGAAACCCCTGTCTTCTTGTGAGGGGTCTGGGGCCTCACAGTTGAAACTTTTGGTGGATTCATTTAAGAAACTGACTTTTGCATCTCTGGTACACATCCAGCTAAACTTCCTGCTGCTGCAGAGACCTTTTCTTTTCATTGTAAAGGGGTTTTCGCTTTAATTAAGCTTAATTATCTTTAATCCCTGATCATTAAAATATTTGAAAGCCTTAAATATTTGCTAGTCATCTGTGAAAAATCTGGGAGGATTTCCAAATTGGGAGTTTAAAACAGAGGCCTGAAAAGGAGTTATTGGGACCAAATTTCAGTGCATCTTAAAGACAGTGGAACTAAGTTGGGATTTGTGTGTGTGTCTAATGAATTAGATTTCCAGGAAGTGAGCATACTCAGATGTTTGGTGGCTCTTGGCCTTGTTGTAAAAGTAAAAAGGCAAGTTCTTGCCTTTTTTTCTCTTCTACTTGATTCAGGGGTTTAAAGTAATGAGTAAATGTCATGGTTTTAAAAAATAGTTCCCTAATATGACTCAAAATTAACTGGCAGGAAAGTTCAATTTCTCCTAATTTGGAGCACTAAAGCAGCAATGATTCCATTAAAGGGGTGGGCATCCTAGCACCTGCTTTTCAGGGAGGGATGCTAGGACTGGCAAAGGAAAAGAATACAAGAACAAGGAAGAGAGAGGAGAGCCAAGCCTTCCAGTGTCCCTACCGAACGCAGGTATAGCCAACTGCAGGGACTGCCTTCATACCTGAGGCCACCTCTGCTCCACCTGTCTTATTCCTCTTTACATGCTCAGGGATTTTTGGCATCTCCCCTAAGTTGTGAGCTTCTTGAGAACAGTGTCTGTGTCTTCTCTGTGACCACAGGGCCAGCACAGCGCCCGGCATATGGCAGGTTCTTAACACATGGGCTATGTGATGTAATCAGGTTGGGGGTTGGGGGGTTGTCTCTGACTGTGTTGAGGGCAGCAGTATAGCGATATAAGAGTGCCCTGTCGCAGTCTGCAGCCCTCTGGCTCTGATACTGGATCCAAAGACCATAGCTGATATTTTGGGGGGTAGAGAGGGATATGCAGGGAAATGTAGGAGGCAGAGGGATGGGAGCCTGCACCCATGCCAGTGTTTTCTTTCTTCTCTATTATCAGCAAAATAGCTAATACTTGTGGGAAATGTTTAGGGCCTCACATATGTAGATGAATCTGTGGGAAGGGGCCTGGGTACTTACAGTTTTTTCCTCCACAAATCCCTGCCCTGCACAAACTTGTCTGCTCTGCTCAGCTGTTAGATGGCTGTTTTCTCAGCCTTCCTAGGAAGTCCCTACCCCCACCCTGTCCACCTTATTGATTCAGAACTGTTTTCTCCCTTCTGAGGTCACAACTATTCCCTATTCTCCTTCGTAAATATAACACTGATGCCACTAGTTGGGTCATAGTTCTTTCCAGATCCTCCACTAAACTAGACCAATTCTCTGTTCTGTTTCTGAGGGTGGTAACTTAGTGGTAAAACTTAATTACACCCTTTCTTGTGCTTTTTATCAAATCAGTAACAGAAGTTTCATCTATAAGAGACCAGGCTGCACTCTAGGCATGGACTTTATGTGTAAAGAAAAAAGAAAAACCGGACTCATCTTAGGGTAATGTCAAAACTAAGTCCACAAACTAGAAGTACATACAATGAACTAAGTACATATAATGAACTATTGTAATCATTGAAAACCATTTATAAGAAATATCAGACATACTAAAAGGCTATCAATAAATAAAAATGAAAATCTTATTAAAGCATGAATTCAAATATGCTTGGATAAAAGAAACTCACTTTCTTCTACTGATTATTATAACCAGTAATTCGTGGAGATAGCTCTATTTTAAAAACCAACTTTGCCAGTTACAGTACTTCCAGTATTTGCTTATTCGTATGTTTATAAAAGAGGCAAAAGGCAGGTAAAACATAAAGTCTGAGACAAAAATGCAGCCAATGACAGCTGTACCTTACAGGGAGCCAGGCAGAGGCTAAACTGAGTGTCAGGAGGGGCCAACCAGCAGGTCACAGAAATGCGGATCTGGTTTCCACAGCCCTATGCTCCGACTCCAGGGTTAACTTCACCTTCTTTGGAGCACCTGCTCGGTGCCAGGAGTTGGAAACACAGCCACAGCTATGGATGAGGGAAACAGGGACAAGGGCGGGGATATCACGGAGGACAAGGGTGGGACAAAGAGACTCAGGAAAACAAGAAAGAGGGGAAGAGACAAAGAGAAAACGGGATGAACAAGAAAGGAGATGGTAGGGGTGGGGCGGGGAGTGAAAGGAGCAGGTGGGCGCCGTGGAGGCCCAGGGCGGGGTTGGGGCGGGGGCGACCTGGCCGGGCGGCCCCCGCCGCAGCCCGACGGCCGCTGTGCTGCCTTCCGCAGGTATGGTTCCAGAACCGACGGGCCAAGTGGAGGCGGCAGGAGAAGCTGGAAGTGTCGTCCATGAAGCTGCAGGACTCGCCCCTCCTCTCCTTCAGCCGCTCCCCGCCCTCGACGGCCCTGGCGCCCTTGGGCGCGGGCCCCAGCGGCGGCGGCGGGCCGGCGGGGGGCGCCCTGCCGCTGGAGTCGTGGCTCGGGCCGCAGTTGCCGGGCGGGGGCGCCACGGCGCTGCAGAGCCTGCCGGGCTTCGGGCCGCCGGCGCAGAGCCTGCCCGCCAGCTACACGCCGCCGCCGCCGCCGTCCTTCCTGAACTCGCCGCCGCTGGGCGCCGGCCTGCAGCCTCTGGGACCGCCGCCGCCTGCATACCCGTGCGCGCCCGGCTTCGGGGACAAGTTCCCCCTGGACGAGACGGATCCCCGCAACAGCAGCATCGCGGCCCTGCGGCTGAAGGCCAAGGAGCACATCCAGGCCATCGGGAAGCCGTGGCAGGCCCTCTAGGGACACCGGGGAACCATCCTGGGAGCCAGCTCCAAGTCGCACAGGCGCACCCCTTCTCCCCGCCCCCCGCCCCCACTCAGCCCCTCTTCCCCAGGGCCGCAGGCAGGCTTGGATCCTGGACGCACGTCTTCTTTGGACCTACGGGAGGCCCTCAGGCCACCCCCGCACCCTCACCGACTCCCAGCCCTGCTGATGGACGGGGCGAGGCGGTCCGGCTCTCGGGGCACACTGTTCTCTCCCTGGCGGGCGCCGGAGCCTCCAAATTCAAGGGGGACCCTAAGGGCCTGACTTGCGCCGGTCTGGGCGGCGTGGCAGCCCCAGATGATCACAACTGGGGGGATGGAGAGGCGGGAAGATAGAGCTTGAGGAACTGTTTGTATAAGTAGTGTTTGAAAGGATTGGGGAGGATAATTAAAGATTTGTTTGCTTGGGTTTGAGTCTGGTCGAGCGCGCCCAGGACTGCGGTGGCGGGGAGGAAGGTGTGTGCGCGAATGGGTAGCGCGAGGGGCTGCGGGGATGCACCGGGTGGGCCAGGGAAAACGGAGGGTTGTGCAGGGGCTTGGGCCCCCTGCGCATCCCCCTGAGGGCGCTTGGCTGCAGTGCAGGCTCTCCGGCCTCCCGGGCGCTGCGGTGCCCTCAGCCGGAAGCGCCCTTCCCCAGAGCGCGTGGAGTGTGCGGGGCCGGATGATCCGAGCCTAAGGCCCCGCCCGCGCGTTTCCAGCGCCTCGAAACCCCAACAGCCTAGCTGCTTCAGCTACTCTGAAGAACTGACACCAGCAGGAAGTGTCTACACCACCTTTCCCAAAGCGAGAGCTGAACGTGCCCAAGCGCCTACCGGCCCAAGATCCCTCTCAGATCATTGTCCGGGTCGCCGGCTCAGTGCCAAACAAGGGTTGATAACAGACCTCTGAGGACTGGGGCAGAGCGACCTTTCTCGGTCCTCCCCCGAGGCCAGAGCCCTGGCATCAAGTGGCTACTGCCTGTCCGAAGTTGGCACGTTAGCGAACCATCCAGGCACCTTTTCCTTGCCTAAATGAACGCCACCTCCCGGTTAGATGGGAAATACGGCGTAAGATGACCTTTAAGGGCTTTGTGTAAACGACCAAGGACCCCACACGAGGCAGTACGCATTGCGATCCCGCTTCTCTGATCCCACGGAATCCCTGTGCCGAAATCTACTTGGGAAAAACATGACTGTCCGGGGGCTGGGGGTAGAGAGACTGCCTCTGCAGGATTGCCATGCAGGTCCTGAGAGTCTCTGGCATAACCAGGGCTGTTGCCCTAGACCCTCATCCAGGGCCTTGCAGGTCAGTAAGAATGTGTCCAATGGGCTACTTTCTCCAAGAGATAGGAAGTGATACTTCCACTGTCCCTCACAACGATGTTCTGCGGAGAAATGGAGCGGCCCAGCTGGTATCAGCTCTTGGCAAGAATACATAGGTAAACTCGGATGAATATGTAAGTAAACTTCTTTCAGTGGAGTCCATCTTCTCTTTCATCCATCCGCTCATTTTTTTTCTTTCATCCTTTAACGTCCGCGTTTTGCTAGCAATGACTTATTCAGAGGACTCTCAACTTCACTGGCCCTGGGTCAGCTCCACACTTGCCCCGCCTCCTTCTCCTCCACAGTCCCGAGCACCTCTGACTGCCCAGCCCACCATCAGCGTCTTCTTCGTTTCCCTTAGATCATTCCCATGGTTATTCATTTTGTCTCCTCTCTGCCATTTTTCTCTCTACTCTTTTTTTCATCTGAAGTTTTCCACCACTTCTCTCTTCTTTTATTATTTAGTCTGAGAATGAATGTTTCAAATCATTCTTTTTAGTCCACTGAGGCCCAAGGCCCCTCTCATTAGGACCCCCAACAGGGTGAGCCATACCTGGATTTCAGGGACAAGTTCTTGGAAAATGATTAAAACACTAACAGCGGATGATCACTGAATGCTTACTATGGGCCAGCACTCTTCAAAGCAGCTTATGTCTATTGACTCATTTAAGCCTCAAAAGAACCCTGCCAGAAAGATACGCTTTGCCGCATTTTATAAATGAGGAAACTGAGGCACGGAGAAGTTGCCCCCAGTGAACACTGCTTTTAAGTGTTGGGGCAGGAATAACCAGAAGCTGTGGTCAGTTCACCATCTCGATCTCCTAGTGCAGGTTTAGGAAGCATTTGCTGAATAGGAGCTCATTTCGGTTCGCAGGAAAGAAAGCTCATTAAGCCGCAGTAGGAACTGAGATCCTCAGGTGTGGGTGCTAGTTGAGCGTGCTCTCCTGGGCCTCCTGGGGAAATCTGGACAAAGCATCCGCCCAGCCCCTACAGCTCTAAGCACTGCGATTCATGCAGCCAGCTCCAGGAGTGGGGTGCATGCGAGGTGGGAAGCCAGTACTTAGGCTGCTGGTAAGAATGGCTTGTGATAAAGAGCATTAAAACCCCAGAATACCCTGAAACGCTGCTGAAGCTCATGGCTACAGAAAGCACTTTGCAGAAGCGCCTGTTAAGCTGGGGCACCGGTTTCTAAAACCAGACTGTGTTGGATCTACTTTGGTCTGGACGCAAGCCTTTCAGAGACTCCAGGGAAAGACCTCCACCAGTAAGCCCGCACCACTTTGGAAATGGTTCTTGGGTATTCTGTAATGAGACTGCGGGTTTGGCTTAGGCAGTGCCAGCGGTGTCCAGTGAAAGGGAGCAAGAACCAGTAAGGAGGGGTGCTACGGGGTTCGGAGAAGAAGGGCACTGTCGTTCCAAGCAGAGTGACCTCCTCAAGATCGAGTCAGTCCTTGATTCAGGTCGACTTGGATTCACTCAATCTAAGAGGGAGGTCTTGGGGACGCTCTTCCCAGAGCAAGATTTCTGTTCCCGCAGGCCGCGGGAGGGAAGCCGGTGAGCCTGCAGGACCTCCCCTCCTCGGCTGCTGGGACCAGCCTGGGAGCCGCGAAGGGCGGGGCTCTACGGCCGGGGACGCCTCGGATTGGGCCGCTCCGAGGGAAGGGCGGAGTGAGGCGCGGCCGCGCCCCCGGGGGCGCTGGCAGTCCTGAGTTCTACCGAGACCCGGGGGCTGATTCCGAGATGCCCGCGCGGCGCGGAGCCTGCCCCCGGCTACTGCGGCCGCCACCAGCCACCCCGCCCCGTTGGGGGCGTTTCAGTCCCTTTACGGCGGAGTCTCTTCCAGCCCACAAGGGTGGCGTGTCCGCACTGCTCGCCACGGCTCCGGACTTCTGGTGGCGCCTTTATTTTCCGGCAGGGACGCGGCGGACAGAGGGCCCCGCCTCTCCCGGTCGCCCGTTTGCAGAGCGGGGCTCTCCTCGTTTTCCTGGACCCCAGGCCGGTCAGGCTGCTCATCCTTCCTGGGATTCCCGCTGTCCGACCCGGTTCTGCACCTTGCGGTCTGAGCTCCCACCTCCGCTGGTATGGGCGAGACGGGGTGGGAGATGGGAGGACCCCTTGGGCGCGGCAGGCTTCGGCGCATTGAAGCGGGGCGACCCCAGTGTATTGACTTAAAACCCGTAGTTAATGTTTGGGGAGATGGGAAATATCAAACCAAGGGAGACAATCCCTGCCGTCTCAGCTGATCTAGAATCGGGCGAGGGGAGACAGGGAATCCTAATCTTGCCCTCTCAGCCAAGTTCATCGGTTCATTGAAAGTCTTCGCGGAGCCCCCCGAGAGCCCACGTTCTGGGAGCGGGGCGGCCTGGGGTCCCCTCCCGGGAGCCGCGTCCCTCCCGCTAGCGGGGCACGGTAGGGACCTCGGGGCTGCGGCCCTGCCTCCGCGGCTGGCGACTCCACGGCTAGCGACTCCACGCGTGTGACGCCTCCGCGCTCCCGCCGCGCCGCGTGCCCTTCTCTGTCTCAGGACAAGCGCTCCTTTCCACCCGCAGAACCTACACCAATAGAATTTAATCCTCCAGGAGACCGGCGGGAAAAGATTTTCAGGCAGGATAAGGTTAATGAAAAATCCGCACTTCTTGTCTGCTCTGCAATCCCGAGCACCGCTGCAGTCGTCGGGACTCGGCCTGCGTCCTCTCCGCGCGCCCGACCTCTCAAGAGGCCGATGATGTACTTTGCGGCCAATGTCGTCCCCTAAATTGGGAACTGGCTCTAATAATCTGGCGCAGCTTGTTAACTGTACAATAGGCGCAGGGTTCATGACTCATTAGTGATTAACTTCTTGGCTGTGCCTTAATTGCTCACTGTAAACCCCACTTCGTAAAACTGGATAAAATCTTCTAGATCCTTGGCCGCGTCTCAGCCCTGGAAGACGCGGAGAGTGCCGGGCTCCCCCCACCTTCGGCGGGTCAGCTTCTTAAGCTCAGGTGCAGCGGTGCCCCTCAGCCTGGACAACGGGAGGTATGTGGCTGTGACATTGCCTGGTCGTGTGACCTTAAACAGACCCCGCGGTAAAGCTAGATCTCCAAGATCTTCCCTCCTCCCTCATCATCCCATCAAAGATGCCTGAAATGTTCCGCCTGGTTTTAGAAGGCGCTTTCCTCTGCTCTGTACTTGAGACAAGTGCGATTCTAATAGGTTTTGAATGGATTGCATGCAAGGCAGCTTTCCTGTGCAAAGTCGTCTGAGAAAACCCTTTCCAGTGGTTTCTGTAACAGTGGCTGTGTTCTATAGTCTCTCCATTTGTACCTTTAAAAAATTCGTCCTTTTTTTTAACCTTAATTTTCTTGTGATCTTTATCCATTCTAGAGACTTGCAAGGCATGATGGACGTTTAATGATGGATAACCAAGAATCTCCACCCTCAAGGAGCATGGTCTAAACAGAGGAAATAAGAACACATCTGTATATATGTTTCCAATGCCTGGTGATTTTCTCCACCTGGCGTCCTATACACCACCCCAAAATAGATACACTGAAAACAAAACTTACTCCTTTTTACTCTGTGGCTTCCTAAAAACCTCCTTAAATTCTCTTCTTTCTTCATTCATAGCCAGCCAATGGATATGATTAGAATTACGTTTGACCCCTTGAGGCAAGTTATTTTCCAATTTCTCTTCTACCTTTTTTCTCAGCTATTATCTCCCAAATGTTAGCTGCCCAGAGCAAAGGTATCTCCCAGCCTCCCTTCCAATTAGATGTGATTACATAATGACCAATGTCATGGAAGAGACAACATTTTTAGGAAGAAGTTCTTAAAAGTCACCGGCGTGCCCTACTCTTGTCTCTTTCCTGCTGTCTGTTGGCTATAAGGCAGGTGTAATGCAGGCACTGGAGAGCGTCCTTGGACCGTGTCATGAAGCTGTGCATTGAGGATGTTGAGTGACAGGATAGAAGGAACCCAACATAGTAAGTCCCTGGCACTGGAACACCATGCTAGCTCTGCACTGCTGCTACCTGGGCTCCCTAGTGTAAGTCTAAGTTTTGGGTCCCTCAGCCAAACCTAGCCCTAATTTCATCCATTCCTTCCCTGCAGTACCTTAATAGCCCCATTAATTTTGCTTCAGAATGTCTCTTAAATATACTCATTCCTGTTTTTCTCTGTCAGTTCTCTAGCTCAGGGCTTTATCGTCTCTCACCCAGCATGGAGAGGTAGTTAAGGTGCTGGACAGCCAAAAATTAAATGATGTCTACTACAGGCAGTGGCATGATCATTTCAAATGAACCATCCTGTATCCAGTATGGAGAAGAGCTTGGAAGGAGGTAAGAGAGGGTTCTAGAAGATCATTAGAAGGCTACTGAAGTGACTGGGAGAAAATATCATGGAAGCCTCGGCCTTGTGTGGTTACAAAGAGTCCAGGTTGGAGCTTGAATGGGGGAGACTATGAGTTGAGTCTCAGTCAAGTGAGTTTGAGTGGAGATAGTGAATAGACAATTCTAAGGACTGGTTTGCAGCTCAGAGGAAAGATCTGGCTGAGCTCTGAGATCAGTGCACAAATGATGGTCAAAGCCATGGGTATAGACAAGTTTGCCTGGAGAGAAGGAGTCTGAACCTTGAGAAACTCCAGCATTTAGTGGGTGATGCTAAAGGAAGCAGTGACAGAAGGGAAACCAGGAAGGGGCAGTGGCATGGAAGCCGAGAATAGGGTTTCAAAAGGGCAAGAATGAACAATAGAAGTACTGTTATTTTCAAAATTTAAAAATTAGCCAGTGATGAAAAACAAGATATAATCCTTGTTACAGAATTATAACAAAGTTGCACAGACGTTGCCTATTTTTGTGTTCATAATGACTATTCCTGTCCCTCCCCCTGAGCTTTTTCCTCTCTGTCTTCTGCATCTGTGGAGCAACTCATTCCACATCTAGGAAGAAAGTGAAATAACACAATAGTCCTAGAAGTGGTAAGCGATTATTTGAAATCCATTTAGTATAAACTTTTTATTATTTTATTTTATTTTTTCATTAAGGTATCATTGATATACAATCTTATGAAGGTTTCACATGAGCAACATTGTGGTTTCAACATTCACCCGTATTATCAAGTCCCCCCACCCCATTACAGTTGCTGCCCGTCAGCGTAGTAAGATGCTACAGAGTCACTCCTTGTCTTCTCCGTGCTGCACTGCCTTCCCCGTGACCTACCTATATTGTGAGTGCTAATTATAATGTCCCTTAATCCCCTTCTCCCTCCCTCCTCACCCACCCTCCCCAACCCCTTCCCTTTGGTAACCACTAGTCCATTCTTGGAGTCTGTGAGTCTGCTGCTGTTTGTTCCTTCACTTTTGCTTTGTTGTTATTCTCCACAAATGAGTGAAATCATTAGATACTTGTCTTTCTTAGCCTGGCTTATTTCACTGAGCATAATACCCTCTAGCTCCATCCATGTTGTTGCAAATGGTAGGATTTGCTTCCTTCTTATGGCTGAATAGTATTCCATTGTGTATATGTACCACTTCTTTATCCATTCATCTACTGATGAACACTTAGGTTGTTTTCATATCTTGGCTATTGTAAATAGTGCTGCACTAAACATAAGGGTGAATATGTCTTTTTGAATCAGGGATCTTGTTTTCTTCGGGTAAATTCCTAGGAGTGGAATCACTGGGTCAAATGGTATTTCTACTTTTAGCTTTTTGATGACTCTCCATATTGTTTTCCACAATGGTTGAACTAATCTACATTCCCACCAACAATGTAGGAGGTTCCCCTTTCTTTCCATCCTTGCCAGGATTTGTTGTTTCTTGTCTGTTGGATGTTGGCCATCCTTACTGGTGTGAGGTGATATCTCATTGTGGTTTTAATTTGCATTTCCCTGATGATTTAGCAATGTGGAGCATCTTTTCATGTGCCTGTTGGCCATCTGAATTTCTTCTTTGGAGAAGTGTCTGTTCAGATCCTCCCCCCATTTTTTAATTGGGTTATTTGTTTTTTGGGTGTTGAGGCACATAAGCTCTTTATGTATTTTTGATGTTAACCCTTTATTGGATAAGTCATTTACGAATATATTCTCCCATACAGTAGGATACCTTTTTGTTCTGCTGATGGTGTCCTTTGCTGTACAGACGCTTTTCAGTTTGATGTAGTCCCATTTGTTCATTTTTGCTTTTGTTTCCCTTACCCAAGGAGCTGTGTACATTCAATATAAACTTTTTAGCCCTTCATACACTGTGACTCCAACTTCCCTTTCTCTGGCACTCAAACTCTTCGGTACATACCCTCTGCTCTTGCCAGACCCAAGTCCCCACCAAGCTTGCCCTAAGCTTTCCTACCTCTATGCTTTTAACCAAGCTCTTTCTCCTACCTGCAATAACTTGCTCCACAGAAAATACTTTAAGATGAATTAAATGAAAATGAAGCCGCAACGTTCCAAAACTTACAGAATGCAGCTAAAGCAGTGCTTAGAAGAAACCTACAGCTGTAATTGCCTATATTATAATAGAAGAAAGATCGCAAATCAATAACCTAACTTTCCACCTTGAGGCACTGGGAAAAGAAGATCAAAATAAACCCGAAGTGAGCATAAGGGAGTAAGTAGTAAAGATTAAAGTGGAAACAAATGGTATTGAGAGTAGAAAAACAACAGAGAAAAATCAGTCATCATCAGAAAATCAGTAAGTCATCAGGGAAATAAAAAACAAAACCACAGTGAGATACCACTTCACACTTCATCATGTCTAGTATTAGGATAGCTAGAATAAAAAAGTCAGCAGTAAAAAGTGTTTGTAAGGATGTGGAGAACTCAGGACCCTCAGACACACTGCTGGTGGGAATGTAAAATTGGGCAGCTACTTTGAAAAACAATCTAAAAGTTCTTCAAATGATTAAATAGAGTTACCATATGATCCATCAATTTTGGCCAAGAGAAATGAAAACATATATCCAAACAGAAAACTTGTAGGTGAATCTTTATAATAGCATGCTCCATAATAGCCAAAATGTGGAAGTCCGTCAACAGATGAGTTGATGTGATTTATACTAATGACGGAATAAGAAGGAATGAAATCCTAAAACATGCCTCAACATGGTGGACCCTGAAAACATATGTTAAGTGAAAGAAGCCAGTCATAAAAGACCACATACCATATAAATGGAAATTCACATGAAAGTCCAGAATAGGGAAATCTATCAAGACAAAAAAAATTCATGGTAGTGCTGGGGGACAGGAGGATAGGGACACAGAGGTGACAGATAAAGGATGTGGAATCTCTTCTTGAGATGATGAAAATGCTCTCAGATTGGCTGTGATGACGGGTGGTTGCACATATCTTTGAATATACTCAAAGCATTGAATGGTGCACTTCAAATGAGTGAACTGTATGGTATGTGAATTATGTCTCAAAAAGCTTTAAAAGAAATAGTCTTCCTGCCAAGATCTTGCAGCTTCCATCCGTTTCAGCTACTCACAATGAAATAATTTTCCTAAATACTATTTTCATCACATTGCTCCCTTGCCAGATGAACCTTTGCAGAGTCACTAAAGATGCATCAATTCAGCAAACATAGATTGAATACCTAATATCCTAGGCACAGTGATAGATAATTCCACACATTTTTTATGTGATTGCTGATCTCAACTCTTCTTTCTGCTTCCAGGGCTTACCTGCATGACTTGGTCACCCATTTTCTTCCCCACTGACCCTCTCCAGCATCTTGCTGTTCTCAGTTCCTCTTCTATACTATAGCTCAAGACAAACAATGTCTTTTTATCCAAAATGAAAGATCAGTCTAAAATGCCAGCAGCTCCCCTAGGGATGAGCAATTGCTTAAATTTGCCCTGTGATGCCAAAGCCTAGCTGGAGACCCTTTTCTGCCAGTGACAGTTCACTGAGGTGGGATGGGGTGGGAGGCCCTGTGAGGAGCAGGTATGTACAGAGGGAGGCCTCAGCGCTTGGGAAGCTGGGCTTACATGCCTTTTGCATGGGGCCAGCCCTGCTGCAATGGTGGGTTTGTTCCTGATTTTTCACCTGGGTGCCTACTAAACATCCTCTGTCTAAGTCACTGTCTCTTTATAACATCTTTCTCTCTCTAGTTTTCAGGTCATCTCCTCCAATGATATCTCTTTGATTTTTCCTGCCTGCTACCTTCTTACCTTCCTGGGATCAGTCTGACTTGCATCTGTGAATCCCCTTCTTTGCCCACCCCTCCACCCCTACTCTTGTTTAGAGCAAACAAGCCCTCACTATACATTGACTGCCTTACAGTTAACAGTCAGCTGCTTAAGGCTCAAGGTTTAGCTCTAAGATTTTGTTCTCAAACTCAAACACCAGCTCCTTCTGTCTTTTCTATATTTAATCTTGTTTCATTAGGGGTGAGGAACACTGCTTTCAGATCATCATCATAGAGAGAAGCCTGGATTCCTTGTCAGGAGGTCACAGGAGCCCCAGTTCTGCCAACGACTTGATATGTGGCGTCAGGCAAGATAATCAAACTCTGGCTGAAAGTCCGCAGCTGTGACATAAAGGGACTGGACCAGAGGACTTTTAATAATCCTCCCAGCTGCAAATTCCGATCCAGCAAATAAATTACATCAGTAATTTGGGTGCGGTTGCCATCTGGTGGCTATCTTGAGAACTTCACTTGCCGATTGTGCACCAGTTTTCTAACAAAATGCTTACTTCTCATCACCAGCAAGAACTTCCTCATTCAAGAAATGGCCTTCCTTTCTGAGTCTTCCCAAGTCCATGGGCTTTATGACTCCGCTTGGATGGAAAGCCCCTCCTTTTCCACTCAGATTCCCACCCAGCCATGGGGATTCTTACATATTTAAAGCCACCTCTAAGAGAAACCAGGGGGACAAAAAAGCTCATGCTTGCATGTTCTCATGCCCCCCGTAATTCAAGGTAGGGAGGATTCAGTTCTAAATTAATTTATTCAAAGCATAAATGCCTTAACCTCTCTGAGCTTTCATGAGGAAATAGTTGCATTTTTTCAAATGTGTTCAGCAGCAAGGCAATTCTTTCTTTTTAATAAAATATGTTTGACATAAGACATTATGTAAATTTAAGGTGTGCAAAACGTTTATTTGATACTTAATTGAAACGTTAATTGTATATGGCAATATGATTGCTGTTGTAGCGTATTTAGCACCTCTATCACAGTACATAAAATATCCTGTCTTTTTGGTGATTGGAATAATTCAATTTTAGTCTCTTAGCAAGTTGGATGATTGTGGTACAATATTGTTATCTACATTGAAGTAGGGCAGTTCTTAATTTAAACTTAATTAATTAAAAATTATACCAAGGGTAGAATTTTAGATGCCTGTGCAATAAAACTATCTGTTACATACTGCCCTTCCTGGTATCCTTCAAATCACAGCGAGCAGGCAGTAAGTTTCCTTCTACGATTAAATGATATACTATAACATTCCAGTCAGGTTTGTCTGTAATACCTGGTGTTTAATGCCAAGGTATTAATGACTTAAATATCCTAATATATCACCCGTCTAGAAATACATACTTAAGAGCCAATTTTTTGGGGTACAATGACTAACCAAAAAAATTAACAGTAGAATTTAGGCATGTAAGAAATCTGGTGGGGAGATACTTTGAAGCTCAGTGACTTTTTTGGCCACCCACCAGTGACTGAGATGTCACAATGCTTAGGGGAAGGCTATCAAGGGTCGCTCTCTTCATTCACTTGCTTCCTAGAAGAACAGATGTTAACTGTCTCAGGAAGGGAGTTATCTTTTTGATTCTAGGGTATTTGTAGGAGATAGCTGTGGTATAGTAAACCAAAACTTGCCTTGGAGTTAAAAGAATGGGTTTTAATCTTATATTTTCCTATTTATAAGCAGGTGCCCTTGAGCTAGTTACTTCAAGTTACTAATCTGTATAATTTGCATAATATCATCTATGTTAAAAGTTGTTCTGAAATAGTAAACAAGATAATCTTCTTGGAATTGCTAGGTATGACTTCATGTTAAGGTGGTATCTGCTTCCTCAAGGTAATGGAGAAGACAAAGGCGCATCTTTCTATCCTCTTTGTAAAGAGGCCCCGAGGAGGGACTTCCAGGATGAGCATGGTGTGGTGAGACTGCGTCTTCTTCCCACCTCTCATTTCTCATCCTAGCCAGAGTGCCAAAGAAACAAACCCGCAAAGGCCGATGCCAGGGAAACTGGAAGCTAGTGGTGACTTGAAGAGGAACAGAAAATGTGTAAGAGCTCCCCAAATAGCTGAGATTGTCATGGAAGCTGGGTGGGTCAACTGAATATCTTGAAGATACTCAAGAAAAGATCTTAAGTCCAGATGGACTTTCCTCTAAGGATAGAGGCTACAGACAAATAGTTTTGAACAAGCTAGAATTCAAGGAATATTATTTCTTCTTAAGAGTTATCTTTTAATGATAACTATTAGAGGATGGATTTCAGCTATCAAGAAACTAAGGGAACCTCATGCAGCAAAAGGATTGTGGATGAGCATTGAATATATGCAGTCTATAGCATCACGGTGAGCAAATCTGGGACTTGGTGTGGCAGAACAGAAGGCGAATGTTTTCTGCACTAACAGTAGAGAAATGAGTCAACTAACAAAAAATGAGAGAAAGAATGAAGGAAAAAGACCAGAACTAGAGTAAACTTGCTGATTGCTTTATAGGAATTAGCTGGAAGCCAAATAATATCAGTTTTAAGTGATATAAAGGCTGTATTTTTAAAAAGGTTAACTTTATGGACTAATTTTGGATGGCAGGGTAAAAGGAAGGAGGAAGAGAAAACAATATTACCATTGCTCAGAGTAGGGAATGGACAGATACTGCCTATAGAATTAGATGTCTAAAGATATTGTATAGAGGTATAATTTTCAAAGGTAACCGGAAAAACAAAAACACAAACCTTCCTAAATATCTGAAAGCTATATAAACCTGCAGAAAAAACAAAACAGATCACATGGTGAGAGACTTGAAGAAGCAAACCTATAAAAACAAAACAAAAGGGGGATTTATAATACTAAAATTCACAAAAAGAACATGAAAGTTATGAATATCAATGCATCATGTAACATAGCAATAACAGTCATAAAATAGAGATTACAGGAGATTCAAGGAGAGATAGAAAGAAACATATTAAAAAAATAGCACAGAAACTCCAAAACAGTTATCACCCACCATCAGCAATCTTGCTCAGAGTGATGGTTACACAGGCATATGAATATGGGACCATTCACTTATTATTAGACACTTAAGATTTGTAAGATTTTTATGTATAAAATAAAGTTTAGAAAGGTTTAAAGTTAATATTTTTTAAGTTAAAAGAAGAGTTGGCTACACTAGAAATTTAAAAGACTAGAACCTCTGAAGTCATTTACTCTTGACCCCCTGACACCATTAGAAAAGTATTTTGTAAACTGTAAGGTGCTCTCCAGATGGAATTTAATTATTTGTATGGCAGCGTCAAAATTACAGATTTTTGAATATCGATGTACCTAAACATTTAAACAACACAAGTCTTTATTTTCTAAAAGGGAACTAAATTTCCTCATGAGCAAAAGCAGATTCACCACGAAGCTAATGAAGCTTAAGCCTTAGGGGTTTTCACTTGCACAGTTCTGCCCAGGGCCCTGGCCGAGGACCTGCCTTAGTCCGCTAGGGATGTTATGACAGAGCACTTCAAAGCGGGAGCTTAAACAACAGAAACGTATTCTCTCCCCATTCTGGAGGCTGGACGGCTGAGTCCTAGATGCAGAGGAGCCAGGCTTCCTCTGAAGGCCCCAGGGAAAGATTCAACTCCAGGCCTCTCTTCTGGCTTCTGGTACTTCTTTGGCTTGTAAGCGCGTAACTCAGTCGTCACGTGGCATTCCTCGAGTGTGTGTGTGTGTGTGTGTGTACGTCCAGATGTCCCCTTTGCATAAGGACATAGTCATTTGGATTAGGGTTATATTGTCATAATGGATTGGATTACGACTCCATCTTAAATTCACTAGTTAATAATTAATACTATTTCCAAATATGGTCACATTCTGAGGTATAAGGGGTCAGGGCTTAAACATGAGGGGTCAGGACTACTGGGAAGGCACAGTTCAACCCATAACAGGCCCTGAGAGAGTTTACGTATGTTTGGTAAAATTTGCCAGAGTAATTTGTTTGTATCACAGTTGGGTTAAGACTATTGCGTCTTGCAATTCAGACTCAATCCATTGACATCTCACTTGTGCCAGGGGCTGTTGGAGTGCCCAGTGGTATTTCTGGGATCTGGGACATACTGATTTGGTTTGCAGTGGCTTCCATGTAGAGTTAGGTTGCCGCTAGCTGTCAAGGCGTAGGAATGGCACCCCAGAGGCGTCCTGACCACACCAGCTCGCTGAGAGAGGAGAGTCCTCTGGCGCCCAGAGTCAGAAGTAGGTGAGTCATGGAGAAGAAACCTTAAAAATGTGCAGAGCAAGAAGCTCGTCTGTGGAAAATTCTTCCAAATGTTACAGCTTATATATATGATTTTATATGTTAAACTTAATGGAGATTTCCCTAATCTGACAGCCCTATAAAACCTGGATCTACTCTGCCTTGAGCCCTCATTTCTTCTGATGATGGACAGAGATTCTAGGTGGAAATGAAGGGAAAATTTCCCCTTGCTAGTTAATATTTTTTATGGTTTCAAATGGTCTCATTCAGTTTGAAAGAGTTCAGAGCAGCCATCTGGGCTGAGCAGAAATTTGGGGGTGACTGGGTGGGACTGCAAGGCCTGTAGTAGATGAGATGCTACAGAGAAGGTCAAAGATGAGAAGGAAGCGAACAGGGAACCTAGGAGAGGCGCAGGGACCGAACCCAGGCCAGGCGGAGGGCTGGGAGGAAGCCCGGGGGGTGGGGGGCAGACCTGACGCCAAGGTGAGTGTAAGTCAGGCGACCCAGTGCCCTGAGCGATAGACCAAAGGGGGACAAAGAAACCCGGGAAAGGGCGCCGCGGGTGTGCGCGTGTGGAGGGGCTGGGGGGCGCGGGAGGCGCCCAGGAGGCCCGGCGGGGCAGCGCCGCCTGGAGGCTGAGCGCGGATTGTGCCGGAAATAAGGCAGCTCGCAGGTAGGTGGTGACCCACCAGGGCCACTGGCAGGATCTCAGGGCCGCCTGACGTGCTGGTAAGCCTGTAACTCATTTCCTTCAAGTTCACAGTAATAAAGTGTTTCTTGTTTGAGTGGAAGGTGCTTGCGATGGCACATTTCGCTTTGGCCAACCCCAAATGAGAAAAGTCAGCCCACGCAGTCCAGAGGAGAGGGAACGAGTCAAATGTGAAGCCCAGGCCCCAGCACCCCCAAGTTAGGAGGGATGGAAAGAAGACCCCTGCGCCCCACCAGGGGCGAGATCGGCAGATGTTTGTTGGTGCTTTCAGAATATGACAGAGTTTCTCGCTTCACATGGCTCTCTTTTCAACATTCCACCTCTCAAAATATGGGGAATCTCTGTAAAGTCCTTGTGCAAATTCAATCCCTCTCTCAATCTCGTTATACAGAGAACAGTGAAAAGTTCTATTTGTGGTGTTAAAATCTCTAAGTAATGGTCGATTGGTTCTATGAGAACGGTGCCTTCAGCGATCTCACAAGTAAGGGGCCACAAGATCAGGCAACACAGAGGGGAGAGAGGTCAGACTGGGTATGACCACAGAGGCCACGACTGTCCATCAGCTTTCTGTGCAGGGCCTGCTCTCTGCTTTGTTTTAAGATGCAGTGACAGCTTCAGCAAGCGAATCCCTGGAGATGGATTGTCTGATCCCAAACTCTCCGCTAGATTCTATTCTGGCTCTGTTCACTTATTAAGAACTGCTCTCCAGTAACATTTCTGAGTGAAAAGTGTTGCCTAGCAACCTTGCCTCTTCTTAATTAGCCATCTTAACTTATTCTAGTGACTGCCTGAGAAAGTAGTGGATCTTCAAAAATCAACCAGAAGATCAAATAGTATGTGGTAAATACCCATCTACAACAACTGGAGAATCACAAGTTTGAACAGGAAATTTAACAACATTGTTGAACAAAGCATAGAGTAGTTCCCTCACACTGACATATATAAAGGTTAAATTGAGATCATAAACTCAATGCCCGGACTGAGCAGGCAGGTAATGTAAACAAAAAAAAAAAAAACAGGCAGTGGTGTACATGAGAGTGTGGTGGCAGGGGGACTGTGGCAAAGTAGAGAGCGTGAGTCCCATCCATGGGGCACTGCCAGGCACTGGTTGTCTTCAGGGAAAGTCTCAGTCGCAGATCTTCCACTTTTGCAAAAACTTGCAACCTGCTTTGCAA